GGTGTTAATTGGTACGACGGCCTGGCAAAATGTCTCTGAAATAACAGGCACTCAAGTTCGAGATGCACTGTTCTTTCAAATACCCATTGTATAACCCAGACAGTATTTGGTTTATTAAAGGAGGAGGGCAGAGCACCGGGGAGGCGAAGGAAACAACGGTATCTTTCCGCATGGGCACTAATCCGGCCAGCAGGCAACAGCAGAGCCCCCTCTCCCCCAACAGGCTGAGGCTTCTGATGAACTTAATGTTCTCTGAAGACCGTCTCACTTGAAATCAAACTCACTTATGACCTTTTCTCTGAGCAGCAGGACAACAAAATCCGTAAGGCAAAGGCAGTCAAACAGAAGACAAGGACGTGATTTTTTTTTTTTTAAATGAATGTTTTATTCATGAACTATTTATAAAAATGTGTAAAATACACTCAAATATATTTGATTTGTTGACTGTAGCTAAAAATATAAAAATATACTTAACAAACGCATAAATTAAATTGACAATAGTGGCACAATTCTGTGTTCACCCAGTGTTTGTTAGGAACACAAACGAGCATATGAGAATGGAATATGTGCTGAAGATTTTTTCAGACACTTTACTCCAGGCACTGGCAAAGAATTTATGGCTAGCCACATTGCAAAATCGTGGGTTTTTTCAGTATAACATACCGCCCTGCTGTAGAGCGATATATATTTAGCTACTTGACGTTACTTACAGTATTTCTTTAGCTTTCAAATAAACCAAGAAACAACCAAATCATCACGCATATCAATCTACCAGCATCATTGACACTGTATGTGCCCAAATTCCACAGTATTTGCTAAATTTAATTAGTCCCTAGTCTCCAGTATTTTCTGCCAGTCTTAAAAACCAAATCCCGGTCTGAACTAGCTGTTGATCTGCGAGGTCACTGACAACAGACCAGTTTGCTTTGGCCATAGTGGTGCTACCAACAGGTCAGGAGTTTGACTTCGTCAGCCTGAGAGGGACAGTCGAGGGCATGGGGTCCACAGCGAGCTGCCTAACTACGGGGGCGCACACTCATCTTCTATTCAAAGTTGCAGCCTCCTGGGACTAGAGGTCCCAGAGCTCACAGCTCCAGAGCCCGACCGCCTGTGACAGGGCCATCAGGGGAGTCGTTGTCATTTTACATTGCATTATATTCACACAAACTGCATGTCTGAAGTACTGAAGGAAATCTGAGTAAATGTAAGCACCTGCCATGCCGCTCCTTGGTAGCGAAGCTGTGGCTGCGGTAGGCTCTGTCTCTGAATGTCAGATGCGTTTCTCCGATCTGTGGCCCTGGGAGGAGATGCTAATACGGTGATTAGATGGTTATTGTTCTCATCCCTCTAGCCCATATATTAACTCCCAGGCTGAGGAGCACGGCTAAGTGCTCATGTACTCCTATCTGACTAGTATTTAACTTTTTGCTTTCAAAGTCAAAGCGTAAATAACCGTATAGAATACATAATATAAACTTAAAGCTCACACATTTTCTTTTCTCTGTTCTACAACTGAAAGGAAATTCATAGTATATCATGGCATAAAATAATATTTCTGGCAATTTTAGGCATGTATATAAGCTGTATAAATAACTATAGCAGCAGAGAAAAATGTATAAAGTTGCACTTTTATGACATCTTCACAGTATGCCTATTTCTCTCACCCACTTTTGTGTTCCATTAGTAACAAAAAATATCATTTATCAACTCCAGCTATGCAAAATCTTTTTTTTTCCCTA